TCCCTCGGGCCGGCCCGGTGGCACACTCGGTGGAGCGCAGCACTTGGGAGCACAGCGGCGCTCCCGCCGAGGGTTCGGATCCCATATAGAGACCGGTCTGCTCACTGGTTGAGCACGGTGCGGGAGTGACACCGAGGGTTGCGATCCCGTTGCCGGTCGCGGTGCGGGCGCGACACTGAGGCTTGCGATCCCGTTACCGGTCACGAAAAAAGACAAAAAGGAAAAAAAAAAAAGAAGAGAACTCCCTCAACCTGTTCCATCCAGCAATTCCGCAAACCTGTCTGCATCCGATGCTATCCTCTCCTGATTCTCTCCTCCTAACAAGGCCTCTCCTGCCACTCATGCTCTGAATCCTATTCCCAAACCTGTATTTGGGATTACCACCCTCCCTCTGCAAGCTTCCACCTCTCCCCATGACAACCCTTCATGCCAACATTTGGAAGTCTCAGGTCTGTTCCCACATAAAACAATTTGCATGGCCTCCAGGTCTCCCTCCACTATGCACCTTCTTTCTCCTTCCCTTCACAGCCAAATGACCCAAAAACAGTGTTATGGACTGAATGTTTGTGCTCCCCCCTCAAAATCATATGTTGAACCCCTACTCCCCAATGTGATGCTATACAGAAGTGGGGACTCTGGGAGGTAATTAGGGTTAGAGTAGATCATGAGGGTGCGGCTCTCATGATGGGATTAGTGCCCTCAAAAAAGGAGGAAGAGATGGGCAATCCCTATCTCACTCTGCCCAGTGAAGATACAGCAAGAAGGCAGCCACTTATAAGCCAGGAGGAGGACCCTCACCAAGAAACTGACCATGAAGGCACCCTGATCTCCAACTTCCAGCCTCCAGAACTGTAAGAAATAAATGCCTGTTGTTTAAACCAACCGGTCTATGGTATTTTATTATGGCAGCCCAAGCCGACTAAGACAAAAGTGTGTACATTTCCAACTCATTCTAATCTGGCTTTTAGTTTCTGCTACCACTCCAGGGAATGAAACGACCACTGCTCACCTTGTCTTGAAAACCAATGGTCATTTTCAATCACCTTACTTATCTCTGTGCAGCATTCAGTTCAGCTGCCCTCTCCCTCATGGGGGTTTTCCTTGGCTTCCTGACACAACACCCTCACTGTGTCCTTCCTACCTCTCTGGCTGTTCCTCCTGGCAGTCTCTGGTGACAATTCTGCCTCTGCTGGGGGCCTCTGACCATTTGGTCTTCCTCGGGGATCCAACCTGGGCACTCTGCTCGCTCTCTCTTCCAAGGTGACCCCGCCCACTTGTGTTGCTTCAATTATCACCCATCTGTCGATAACTCCCAAAGTTACATCTCTAGCTACCAACTTCTGAGCTCCAGTGCCTACTGGCTACCCAACCTCTCTCATTGAATGTCTCACTGACTCTGCAAATTCAATATAACATAAAGGAATCAATGATCCTCCCTTCCAAGACGACACTAGCTCTTTTCTTAGTGTTTCCTATCTCAATAAATAATACCATTCATTGGTTCTCAAAACATACACTAGGAAACCATCTGACAACTTTTCCCCCCTCACCCCCTTTAGGATGGTGAGGAAATTTTTATTTAAAAAATTCCTATCATTTATGTGTCAACTATACCTTAATTTAAAAAATATTTAAAATAAATAAAAATTCCTATCATTCCTGCTTTGTAAGTACTTGAATTCATCCACTTCACAGCATCACCTCTTGCCTGGCTACTCTGATGATACCCTTACTGGCCTTTCTGCAACCACTACCACTGACCCCAGGCCTTCCTTGGGTTCCCTGCTCTCCAAATACTGTGTTGCTTCTTGGCAGGCCGTAAAGTAATTACAACCCACCAACTAATTATATAAATTCACCTTAAGTGTCTACCTGCACACCCCAGGCCTTCCTTGGGTTCCCTGCTCTCCAAATACTGTGTTGCTTCTTGGCAGTCCGTAAAGTAATTACAACCCACCAACTAATTATATAAATTCACCTTAAGTGTCTACCTGCACCTCAGAACTGCAAGCTCCATCAAGGCAGCACTCTGGGATGTCTCACTAACTGTTCTGGTCTGGGTTCCTAGCCCTGTGCATGGCCCTCTGTCCTGCTGTGCCCACTGTTGAAAGAGTGAGCACATTTTCCCTCTCGCCGCATATCTAACTCCTTCTTACCCTCTATGGCCCAGCACCAGCGTCTGTTCCTCTCTCTGTTCTCCCCAACTACTGCCGCTCCTATCACACCACTCACCATGTATTGCCCTGCATCATGATGTACTGTCTGGATATGTCACATCTTCCACAGAGAATGTAAGCTCTAAGGACAGGAAAAATAAAATATAAATAAACATGTTTCCCAAACTGCCAATGCTATAAAATATTTCTGTAGTTACCTTAAAATCAATTTTGCACTCTCCAATGCACTTAGCCTACTAACTAAATTAAAAGCATGTTGAACTGCATTAAAGTTTCCAATCAAATTTTAAGATGTTCTTGTTATTTCTCTTGCTGACTCAAAACTATCAGCTCAAAAAACCGAAAACGTTCGGCATATCTCATGTGTAATTTGCTAAAAGATCGAGGGAAAAAATCATTTCCCCTCTCCCTCTCCATACTCTAGTTTCCTTTATTGTAAAAACATGTAGGCATGGATCAAACACAAAAGTCACAGTGAGACAAGCATTCAAATTCAAACATAGGGGCCGGCCCGGTGGCAGCAGCGGCGCTCCCGCTGAGGGTTCGGATCCCACATACAGACCGGTTCCCGCTCACTGGCTGAGCGAGGTGCGGGTGCAGCACTGAGGGTTGCAATCCCATTGCCGGTCCCGGTCCGGTACGGGCGCAACCCTCAGGGGTGCGATCCGTTGCCGGGCACGGAAAAAAACAAAAAAAAAAAAAAAAAAAAAATTCAAAAAAAACCAAAAACCAAAACCTTGTTAAAAAAACAGTTATGATCCTTGATTTTCATTCCCAG